GTGTTAAACACCACTAGTGCGATTTAGTAAAACTGTTATTCATTATATATCAAATAAATAATAATGACATTTTTGACCAATGAAATGCATATAATATCTAAATGAATGGAAAGAAATAAATTTTGCATTTTTACATGTGCCGGCATTGATAACGATATCGAAAGTCTTCAATGAAACAAATTTGAGTTTTATGGTCATTTTTATCCGATCCAACATTCAATTCTTCGCCAACTCTTGATTAGTCTTGTAAAACGGCTATACAACCATTGTATTTTTTAATTGATGCTCATTTGAAAGCGGCATTTGGCCACAATCTAGTGGCTTTCTTTTTTTTTTGTATCCTTTCTGTATTGGCTTTAAAATTATTTTAGCCTTGAAGTGTCGCGCACTGCACTATAAGTTCGGGCAAAGTATGACTTTATATAAAACATAACCTCAAGTGCTAAATCGTGAATTATTAAAAAATCGGTTATAGATGAAAATCTTTACCAATAATTTTGAAGGAACATCATATAGTAATTTGAGATCGAAAAATGCTCCGTTAAAGAAATTTGATGTTTACAGTGAAGATGAAACTAAAAGGTTTCTTACTAAGGTTTGTATTATAATATAATAAACTTCATTAATTTAAACCTTTAAAATATTAATTATCCTTTAGTCAAGATTACATAACAAAATTAAGCATCTGTACATTATAGAACTTTTTCATTTTTAATAATTATGAACATAAGAGTTTCCATGTATTGAAGTGAATTATCTGAAATTTAATGAATTATCCTAGATTTAAGTGAATTATCCGAAATTTGAAACAACTATTCGAATCAGGATACTTTATCAGATAATTCGATTATAGTGACTGGACTCGTATTAACTCGTGACTTGCGAATTAAACTTCAAAGAATGCATTTATTCGAGCTTGATTCATTTAAAGTTTTGTAAATTACGAGTTACAAAAGCAAACATACTTCAAATAATGAATTACACGAAGCAAATACCGTATATTTCCGAAAATAAGCTACATCCGAAAGAAGCTACCATCCTTTTTTGGAAGAAAATCATAAAATCCTCTTATACCCGAAAATAAGCTACTATACGATCGCCAGTAGTTATCCTATAGTAAAGTCGGAATTTTACTAAGTAAATCGACATAGCTTATTAAGTAAAAGTTATTCAGGAGATCAAAATACATATATCCTAAAAGTTTCATGCAAATCGGATAACCTTTTATTAATACGTTTTTGCATGTTACGTTCGACGAATTTTTTAAAATTTCTTTGAAATTCATATTCGTTGAACGTAAAAATCAAAAGTCAATTAATAAAAAGTTATCCGATTTACTTGAAATTTCAGAATATGTGTATTTTGTTCTTCTGAACAAACTTTACTTAATACACGTCATCGATTTGCTTAATAAAAATTTTCGGAATTGAGCAAAAATCGATTATATCCGAAAATAAGCTACTATTGGTTTTTTGTGTTCAAAATCGTCCAAAAAAGGGTAGCTTATTTTCGGAAATATACGGTACAATTTAAATTACGTTATAAAAGCAAATATCTCAAATTATAAGTTATGAAAGCAAGCATATTTCATTTAGCATATTACTAATCCGATAATTGGAAATATTGTATTTAGGAAACCCATATTCCTCTTTAAAAATAACATCTCGCTCACTAATTCTGGATCAAGATTTGTGTGTTTTGCTGTAATATTGCTGGATCAAGATTTGTGAGTTTTGCTGTAATATTGTTTTTAACGCCTAAAAATTAAGCGTTCAGGCGAGACTGAGGTTGCAGATACACATAAATATCGTCGAGCAATTTTTGATATATTAAATATTTGCAACTATATAGTTTATTTAATAAATTATATCAAAGGTTACGGCATGATCCCGACATTGTAATGCCGACATGCTATTTCATCTTCATAGACAGAAGAATTTTACATTATTTATACAGTTTAGAGTGCTTTATAAAACAACCGAAACTAATCATAATGAAATAAAAAAAAAACTGTATAGAAGGTTTCATTAGAGCTGTAGGGCTCCATAGTCAAAAATGTCATTATTATTTATTTGATATATAATGAATAACAGTTTTACTAAATCGCACTAGTGGTGTTTAACAC